CACTGGTCTCCGCCAAGGCTGCGTCCTGTCCCCTATCCTGTTTGTGTTGTACATGAATAGAATAGTCAGGGGCTGCCAAAGCGATGATGATATCGGTGCAGGAGATGTCAAGATGAGAAGATTTGTGTCTGCAAACGACCTATTTTATTGACATCTTCTGAAACTGATCTAAAGTACTGTCTAGAAAGGCTCGCAGCCGAGTAAGACGTGACCGGCATGCGTGCGAATGCATCTAAAAGCCTACAGCTTTCTCGTTCTCCTGTCCGTTGCTCTCTTCAAATTAATGGAAAGGCAGCGGAGCAGGTGGAGAAGTTCAAGTACCTTGGAATCGTATTTATGGAATATATGGAAGGAGTCTGTACTGTCTCTGCCTCCGCGACCGGAAAGGAGAAGCGGTGACAGTAGGTGAAGCGAAGTGAAGTGACGCTGAAACTGAAAGTGATGTAGGTTTTGAGGTGGGCGGGCTTTTGTAAATGGTGATAATCAGTAAATTTCCTTCTATTCATAAGAGAATGCCAAGCAATTAAGCTTCGCGTCCTCTGTCAGTTCGTAGGTGAAATGGAAGTGATTGTGTATGTCATTCGTTAACGCTTCCGAAACTGTGGAATGCACATACTACTATTAAAATATTAGAGGTATCAGAAAAAGGATTGAATTAATGTTTCTTGGGCTACAGACACTCCTACTACTTGCTTGATACCTGAGACATTTTGTTAGTTTCTCTCACCCATCTAGAATTCAAGTTAAAAACATTTTAAACGATTCCAACCTACCGATTCGATGAAATAACATCCCGGTTCAACAGTAATCACCATTCGTGGCTGTAGCACTCGCGATGTTCGGAGACTACTAAAACTTGACTTTTCAATCCTTTTCGTACCCTAAATAATGCATGGAGTTTTGATCTATTAACCAAATGAATATTTACCTCTGGATAACCTCCAACATCATGACATTCTAGGCCCAAAAAATGGCCAAGCCCATGAGGCATGAAAACAGCGCCGAGATTTGATTCCATCATCTTTTCTATGTCACCTTTTATTATGCCAGCGCGCAACAGATGTTGTAGTATTATACGCTGAGCTAGGACGTGCATGTCTACCCAGCAGACGCCTGAAAAATTCTGCCCATGTGACATACGGCTTCAAAACTTTCGCTGCAAATTCGAAACCACCTCGCATCTGCTAGTGCGTGGATAAATCTTAGCAGTTAGTAGACAATTAAAATTGTAAAGACTGGTTTATGCAATAAAATTTCTACACCTGCGGTGAGATTTCTAATGCAGAAACCTTTATTATGCAACAGCTACCTATTAATAAGGCTTAATTTTATCGTTTCAATATTCAAACAATTTCTGCAGCACCAGAAGACGGTTCATAGACCTGTTTAGGTACTATGAGTGATTGTCAAAAAACGACGATGGATCGACCATGCTGCAACCCAAGATTGGAACGACAGAATTACGCATCGTACCCGTCCAGCGGTATCTACTCACTAATATGATCTCGTGTCGAAACGTAGTGATGTGCAAGGAGACGAAA